AGATGACAGAAAATGTGGCCACACACCCTGTCTTGTGGTGAGCTTTCAGGGAATGAGACTGGAGCAGATGCAAAGAAGAGAGGAAGGGAGGGGCTTGAGCTCCTGGAACCTCAGGACCCTGGAACTGCAGAGCCATCGGCTATGCTCTTCAAGGACCGTCAGGATCTGCTTGTTCAGGCATACATCCTGCACTTCATCAAGTCCTCCAGCATCCTTCCATCCCATCTGTTCGTGGAAGAAGATATGCTGGGGTTTGACACTCACATCAGGAGTCTTAGCTGATGCACCACCTCTCTGGTTCCTGAAGCTCTGGGCACTGAGACAGACACAGTACTGGCAGTGGAACCAAGGAGAGATGCTCTCATCAGCCTCTTCTCCCATCAGCCTCTTCTCCTGGAGAGCAGACAAGCGCAGTCCTACCCACCAAGAAAAGGAACCCGTATCTCTTCCTGGTGGTGATGTCACAGGTCCTGGACATTCTAGGTATCCTGGAGATGAAGCCTCCTCCTTCTGCTGGAGGGACTATGGCAGCGAACAGAAGAGCAGGGACATTCTTATCTGTCTTCCTGCTGTGCTGCTGGCGAGACGTGCAGCCCTGGCCGAATAGAGAGTTTTCAGGTAGGGTCCCCAGGAGACTGGCAGGTAGAAAACCATAGGCATGAGTCGGACAGGTAATGGTTTGCTTCTCTGCTGCTGTTTGAAAAGGTCCCTTCTGAACTCCAGGTGTTGAACTGATGACAAAGCTGAGCTCTACCTGGTAACCCTCCCTAGGGACCTCATTAAGATCTCTGTCCAAAAGGTCTTTGGAGCACTTTCCTGGTTTGTCTGGCCCCTGCCTGCCATGAACATGTAGCCGTGGCTCATTGTTCTGGAGTCTCAATAGACGCCATACCTGCCTAAGTGTGAGGAATAGATTTATGTTCTTCGTACCGACACGGCCTCAGAGCTCGTTACAGCAGCACAGATGGACTAAGGTATTCTCTGTCCTGCCTATGCAAATTTACCATCAAACCAATCGCGTTATTATGAAGTCCTGTGAAATTCTACAAGTCTATGCAAGAGTTGTTTTATCTTGTGTTTTAACTTTCATTAACTTGCAGAAATATTCTAAGTCTCCTAAAAGTAAAGGAGGGCTAATAGGAGCCTCAGGATGGGCTGATGTTCTCGAATTTAAGTGACTGTGAACATTTTGCTAGTTTATTTCAGCTTGTTCTTTGGGTTTTTTTTTATTTGGTTTTTTTGGAGACAGGGTTTCTCTGTAGCTTTGGAGCTTGTCCTGGAACTCACTCTGCAGACCAGGCTGGTCTCGAACTCCCAGAGATCCTCCTGCCTCTGCATCCCAAGTGCAGAGATTAAAGGCATGTGCCACCACTGCCTGGCTGGTACATTTTTTTAACATGGCACACACATGCAACCATATGTGCATATGTGTGCACATGCATAAGGATGCTAGAGGGTAACACTGAGTGTCTTCTATCGATTTCCATTATATTTTCGAGACAGGGTATCTCATGGAACTCAGAGATCAATAATTGGTTAACAATCTGGGCAGCTACTTCTGGGGATCCACCTGTCTCAGTCCTCCCAGTCCTGGGGTTACAGACATGCACCATCACGCCCGGATGTTATTTGGGTGCTACTTTCTTCCCAGTCCTGGGGTTACAGACATGCACCATCACGCCCAGATGTTATGTGGGTGCTACTTTCTTCCCAGTCCTGGGGTTACAGACATGCACCATCATGCCCGGATGTTATGTGGGTGCTACTATCCTCCCAGGCCTGGGGTTACAGATGTGTGCCACCATGCCCAAATGTTACATGGGTGCTAGGGATACAAACTTGGCTCCTCATGATTGCACAACAGGTACCTTACTGAGACTCACATCCTCAGCCCCTTGGTACTTTTTTAACCAGTAACTTGAAAGTTATTTTTTACTAAAACTTTCATTGTGTATATTCATTATTCATAATTCCATACCACATATAGATATTTTCATAAAAGTATGTAATATATCCAAACAAATTCCTTCCCATATCTTTCTACCCTGCTGTCTTAGTTACTTTCCTATGGCCCTGACAAATCACCATGACCATGGCAACTCATAAAAGAAAGCCTTTAATTTGGGGCTCACAGTTCCACATGGTTAAGAGTACATGAGCACTGTTGGGAATGATGGCAGCTGTAGCACGAATAATAAAAACCCAGGGACAAACATTGGGGTTCGAGCTGAAGATCAGAAGAGCAAAGCAGTAAAGTCACTAGAGAGATCTTACCTCTACCAAGGCTCAGACAAACAAAGGGGTGAGAGATCCTGCAATGCTCTCCGCCAACCTCAGACTCCACACTCCTATGAGTTCTTTTTTTTAATATTTATTTATTTATTATGTATACAATATTCTGTCTGTGTGTATGTCTGCAGGCCAGAAGAGGGCACCAGACCTCATTACAGATGGTTGTGAGCCACCATATGGTTGCCGGGAATTGAACTCAGGACCTTTGGAAGAGCAGGCAATGCTCTTAACAACTGAGCCATCTCTCCAGTCCCACTCCTATGAGTTCTTGTCTCTTCCCCTTTATATTCCTCTCTCCACCCAACCCAATCACTCCTGTCTTCACCTCCCTAGTGCTGGGATCACCTTTGTGTGAGCTCTGTTTCTTTTTTTAATCTTGTGCAACCCAGGTGGCCTTGAACTCACAGAGATCTGTCTACCTCTGTCTCCTGAGTCCTGGGATTAAAGGTGGGTGCCACCACTCCCTGGCCTGTATGGTTGACTAGTGTGGCTGCTTTGCCCTCTGATCTTCAGGCAAGCTTTGTAGCACGAGGGCCGGCTTGTTGTGGTTTCTGTCCCACTCAGTACCCCAACAAGCCAGCAAGTCCCAAAGAAAATCACACGGAGTCTACATTAGATTATAAACTGATTGGCCCATTAGGTCAGGCTACTTATTAGCTCTTATAACTTATGTTACCCCATTATCCTTATCTATGTTAGCACATGGCTCCGTACCTTTCTCAGCAGGGCAGGTTACATGCTGCCTCTTCAGTGGTCTGCACAGGAATGACAGAGGAACCTCCCTGCTTCCCAGAATTCTCCTGTTCTCATTGCATCACCTCTACTTCCTGTCTGGTTTTCCCGCCTATACTGCCTGCCTGGCCAATCAGCATTTTATTAAAATATGATTGACAGAATACAGACAATTTTCCCGCATCAAAGCTTTATTTATTAAAGCACAAATAATATGCCACAGTCCTGGTGCTGGAGAAGTAGTTGAGAGTATATATCCTTATACTCAAGTAGGAGGCAGGGAGAGAGCTAACTGGGGATGGCCTGGGCTTTTTAAACCACAAAGCCCATCCACAAAGATACATTTCCTCCAACAAGGCCACACCCCCTAATCCTTCCCAAACAGTTCCAACAACTGGGGACCAGGTATTCAGATACATGAATCTATGAGGTCATTTTCATTCAAACCACACCTTCCTTCCTTTAGCCTCCTCCATTCTCCCAGAAAGTTTTGCTTTACCTTTATATTATACAGACATACATGGTATTTGCCTTTCAGACCTGGATTAATTTCCTTAATGTGGTTATATCCACTTGCATCTATTTCCGGAAAATGATATAACTTCACTGTTCTTCATGGCTGAAGATTCAATCACACACACATACATACACACACACATACATACACACACATATACACAGCACATTTTCATTATCAATTCCTCTGTTGTCAGGAACATAAGTTGGTTCTATAACTTGGCTATTGTGAACTGTGCTGCATCAGTGTTTAAACATCAGTGTTTAAACAGCTCCATGATGTGCTGATTTGAGGCCCATTGCATAAATATCCAGGAACAGGTTCAAGGTGGCTCTTGTTTGAGTTTTTCTGAAGATCCTCCATACTGAGTTCCACAGTAGGTAAACAAATTTCCATTCCATGCACCAGCCGTGCGCATGTCACTATGGTTCTGTGATATACCTTGAATTCAGGTGTGGGAAAAACCTTACATTTCTTCTTTCATTATTACTTTGTTTGTTTGTATTGGATCATTTTCCTATCTGGGGTTGTTTCCGCTTCTAAACGAATCTTAAGGTGTTTTTTTTTTTCCCAATTTTTGTGAAGAGTGGCACCGGCATTTTAATGGAGATCGCATTAAATTCTGTACCTTGATTTTGACAGCTGCATTGGTTGCATTAGTTGCTCACTGCTGTGGCAAGACACATGGCAAAAGCAACGTAAGCATTTTGATTTTGACAGTTCAAGTGTAGTCCACTGTGGCAGGAGCACCGGGGTGGTAGAATATGCAGCCTGTAGCATTGCATCCACAGTAAGAAAGCAGGAAGTGAGGAGACCTAGGGTTCGTCGTGACTTGTCCTTTTCATTCAGTCCAGGACTGAACCCCAACATATGATGCCACCCACACCCAGGCTGGGTCTCCTCCCTCAGTGTGCCCCATCTACCAAGACAATCCTCACAGGCTTGGCCACAGGCAGTCAGTCACTGAGATGATCCTACATCCTGTCAAGTTGGCAATATTGATTCTCACAGGTCCACCTCCTTTCATTATTACATTCAAACACATTACTTTTTAATCCATAACCACCCACTTCTTATCTCTATAGACACATAGCCAGCTCATAATAAAAAATACACTTAGTCCTCCGTTGTAAGAAGGCTGCTTGTTTTGTTCCCAGCTGCTCAGCCCCAAAATAATCACACAGAAACTGTATTAATTAAATCACTGCTTGGCCAATTACTTAAGCATATTGCTAGCTAGCTCTTACATCTACAATTAGCCCATCTCCATTATTTTATATTTTACCATGAGGTTGTGGTCTATCAGCAGAGTTTCAGCATCTCTGTCTCCTACGGCTCCATGACTTCTCTCTCACTCCACCTCCTTTCTCCCAGCATTCAGTTTAGTTTTTCCCACCTACCTAAGCTCTATCAACAGGCCAAGGCAGTTTCTTTATTAACCAATGGTATTCACAGCATACAGAGGGGAATCCCACATCATCTCCCCTTTTCTGTTTAAATAAAAAGGAAGGTTTTAACTTTAACATCATCCTTGAACAGCTCCAACACTGAAAGTTTGAATTCCAAGTCCCATTTTTGATCTATAAAATAAAAAACAAGTGACATGCTTCCAACAAATAATAGCACACAAGAAACATTCTCATTCCAAAAGGGAAAACTAAGACATAGCAATAAGGGCCCATACCAAAGCAAGACCAAAATCCCAGTAAAGCAAACAAATCCAGCAGCTCCGCATCTGGCATCCGGCTCTTGAGGGGGGATCTTCTGGGTTCCAGAGGGTTTAGGCAGCCCCGCCGCTCCAGCTGTGCTGCTTGCAGAAAGCAGGGCCTCCCTCTTGGGCCCGTTGTGTTCTATGCCTTCAGCTTTCCTTGGCAGACAACTCATGGTCCTGGCATTTCCAAAATCCCAGGGTCTCCAGTGAAGCTTAGGCTTCATCACCACAGCTTAATGGAGTGACCTCCAGGGGCCCCTAGCAGGGCTTCAAGTCTGCCACACACAGTCTGGCCCCTGCAGTCTTCTGGAACCATAGTGCAAGACTCCATGACCCCCTCAGGACTGCATATTTCATTACTGTAAAGGGAGTGTACCAGGCGAATGCTGCTGCCAAGTCCTGCTGCCAGCTTGTACTGGAGGCTAGCCATCCTGGACCACATTTGTATCGGTCTCTGTGTGTCTCCCAGGCTGACCATGGGGAAATGCATCCCTAAGTGTCATTTTGCAGCAGTAGACCCCTCCACTGCACTCAGTTAAGGCTCTCTCCTAGCGAATGAATTTGATTGGCAGGTCCTGTCTTTGGGGCATCTCTTCTAGTGTCCCGGAGCAGAGCTGGAGCTTTCTCAGAGCTTCGTTTTAGCACCCACTTCGGTCACAATTTTCAGCTTGCTACACTCCTTTTTTATCGTTCTGCCCAGCTTTTCGAGAACTTTCACGGAGACCTGGGTAAGAGCGGCAAGCAGTAGCCACAGCGTTAACACCCTCCTGTATTGAGATTTCCTCCACCAAACAAATTAATCCATTAACTTTAAATTGGTCCTCACTCAAATTCTCAAGGCAGAATGCAAATATTCTTTGTCAAAGCCTATTATGAATGGTCCCTAGCTGGTAGAATCTGTGTCTCCCTCTGAAACCTCAGGAACTAAGACCTCACTGTCCTTGTTTCTCTAAGCATTTTTTTATCAAGACAAGGTTTCTCTGAACAGCCCTGGCTGTCTTAGATCTCACTCTGGCTGGCCTTGAACTCATGGAGCTCCACCTGCCTCTGCTTCCCAAGTGCTGGGATTAAAGGCATGTGCCACCATCACCACCTGGTATCTTACTCCTTATGTTAGTATAAATGTAGTTTTTCCACATTTAGTAATAACGTTCTCCACAGACTTGTTATACACCCTTTACTATGTTGCAATACACTCCTTCAGCATGTTTATCATGCAGCCATATGAATTCTGTGAATTCAGGTGTCTGTTGGGCATCTATCGAGACAATCATGAGACTTCTGTCTTAAAGGCTATGGGATACTGGATGACGTTTCCCAGTTTTGTAGGTTGAACCCAATCCTCCTGCAGCTCTAGAGTGAAGTCGACTTGATCACAGTGAATGATCCTTCTGTTCTATCTCAAAACCACTTTTCAGGAGTTTTCCTTAGGATTTTACATCTATGTCCATCAGGGGAATTGGTTTAATGTTTTCACTGTGCCTTTATCTGTTTCTTGTGTAAAGATACCAGCTTCATAAAAAGTTTAGCAGTGTTCCTTTCTTTGATGTTTTATGGAACACTTAGAAGGGAAGCACTGGTGTTCTTTTAAAGTCTGAGGCCAGCAACATGGCTCAGCAGGGGAGGTTCTTGCACATGGGCTTGGCAACCTGAGTATTCTGTATTTATTAAGACTTCCTTTGTACTCTGTTACATGATCTATTTTACAGACATCTCCATGAGCTGCTGAGAATATACTCTGCTGTGCTTGGGTGGAGTGTTCCGCAGATAGCTCTAAATTCACCCGGTCTATGTTTACCTCAGCTACTTATTTTTATTACCGACGACATAAGTAGCACCCGGTGAGAGGAGGGCACTGTTGTCACTCGCCCATGAATGACATTCCTGTACTGTGCTGGGTCAGTCTGTATCTTCACATCTAGTAGTATTGTTCTATGAATTTGGATGCCCTGTGGTCAGTGTTCATGTGTTTAAATTATAGTGTCCTCTCAATACACTGGTTTCTTTACCAGTATGAAGTAACAGATATCTCTTCTAATACTTGAACTCTATTTAGTCAGGTATTAGATTCTAATATTAATAATCAGATCTTCTAATTAGAAGATCAATACCTGCTTGTTTCCTAGCTCCGACTGCTTGGGAGACCTTTTGCTCTCCCTTCAGACTAAGGTTGTGTCTGTCTTCGGCAGATGTCTTTCCTGGAAGCGATACCGAAGATGCACCCTGCTTTTTAATCCAAACTGCTAAGCTGTGTCTTTCAATTGGAGAGTGAGACCATTAATACTCAGTCATTGCTGGGAGAGACTGTCAACTGACAGAATCTGGAGTCACCCAGGAGACAAGGTCCTGGGTGGTCACTGAGAGCACAGGGCTGATTTCTGAGGCTCTCTGTCCTATGCTGTGGCTCGGGTCACTTGCACTGGGAAGGGAGAGATCCCCAGATCCCAGCAACCCCTCTAGCCAACAAACTTCACTCCCAGTATTTTTTCTTTGTCCTTTACTTATGACAGTTTAACTGAATTGGGGGTAGACAGCTCTATCTTGGTAAGTCTATTT